CTAACCAGAAGGCTGGAGGTTCAAACCCATCAGCCACTTCTAGGAAGGAAGATCAGGCAATCTACTTCCATAGTGATACCACCTCGGAAACCCACGAAGGAGTTGCTATAAAACTCGACCGACGGCAGTGAGGTTTTGCTTGTATGTACCTGTAACCACTCATGCAATCCCACATATCTGTTATCCATCAGTCCCCACTAAGCTTCACTTTCACATATCCCACTTTCAATTCTTTTGATTATCTTTCATCCAATCCTGATTTTGTATTTTTAGTTGCTGCTTCAACTGTTTAACAATGCTTCCCTCTTTAGTGTCTGGTAGAGAGGCCAACTTCACTGAATTTAGATGTTTTCCTAGTCTGGACAGTCTCTGGACTTTGAATAAATCTCTTAATTTTACTTTTACTTTTTCAGGGTGTGTGTTTTCTCTCTAGTACAGTTTGTAATCCAGCACTTAACCCTTTGTGCCACCCAAGGACTCCCAGGTACCTATCCCCTAAATTTAAGAGGATACTTTGTCATTTGAATTTTACCAAACAGTGATAAACACTGTAAACCTTTTCAGTATAGACTTCTAACTATACAGATTTACTTTTGTTTTTGTTGTTGTTTACAATTTACAAGCTCACTGTAACTTCCTTATAAATTCAATATAAGATATGACCTTGGAAGATTTGGAAAAAATTCCCATTTTTCTAGTTTGTAGCTGATGCCAAACTTTATGACAAAGCTTTTTTTTTGCTTTCTATTACTTGTCATTACTCACAATGCAATTTATATTAGAAATCACTTTCCTTTGTAAGTCAGTGCTCCCTTCCTGTAGACTCTTTACACATAAGTTGTCTTTTCGGATGGAACCCTGGTGTCACAGTGGTGAAAGCTCTTGGCTGCTAACTGAAAGGCCACAGTTAGAACCCACCATTGCTCCATAGGAGAAAGGTGTGGCAGTTTGTGGAGAAAGGTGTGGCAGTTTGTTTCTGTAAACATTTACACCCTTGGAAACCCTATGATGCACTTTTACTCTGCTAATATGTAGGTGCATGGGGAAGGTTGCAATCAGGACAATTATCACAACTGATGCTGAGAGCTGCAGAGCTTTAGCCATACAATCACATGCCCATAGCTCATTATAAATGAATGATAAAGTATGCCAAGAGAGAAAGGCAGACAAAATTATAAAGTATATCTTGTTACAAATAGAAGATTTATAGGCTATTACTCTTCTTTAGGAGCCTAGGTGGTGCAGTGGTTAAGTGCTCAGCTGCAAACTGAAAGGTTGACAGTTCAAGCCTACCAGCTCCTCTTTGGGAGGATGTGGTGGACTGCTTCTGCAAACATCTACTTGGACTTGGGAACGCAATAGAACAATTCTACTCTGTCTTATCCTTAAAACTTGGAATGACTTAATGGCAACAGGTATTTTTCTTTAGGTCCTCTGCAACAAATGTACAATAAACAACATTTTCTACAAAGATTATTTTACCCTTCATTTGTAGATCAGCTTTGCAAATGGCCTCACTACATAGCTTTCAAACTCTGTTTATCTTTGTTGCAACAGAACCCTTTGTTCAAATGGAATTTATGCTGCATACTAAAGTATGAAATGGATAAAAGTAAATTTATTCTGATAGAAGCTGGAAGAGTGAGTTCAAAACATCTTGGCAACCTATGAAATTAATCCACAGTATGAATAGAAGTATTTGAATTGAAGGGTATTTAATCAGGAAGATTGAATAGGACAGAAACTAAACTATAATTTCTTGAATGGAACAACTGTGGTTTGTTACCATCATCACATACCATTTCCTGATTTTAATGTGTGGGTGTGCAATTATCTTTAATCTAAAGATAATTAAAAATCTAAAGATTTGGTTTTTATTCTTAATTCCTGGGAAGTTACATCTAAAACCTTTAAATTTCCTATGTGATTGAAATATTTTTTGTCTTTGTTATCCATGAAGGCTTCAGACCAAGGCTTTATGCTAATGAGATGACTCAAGTTAGGTGAGGGATGACCATCCCAGCAAAAGCCCTCCTCCTCTCCCCTTCATGTGATATATCAGTTTGACCCCCATGGAGGGAAGAAGTTCCAAAGACTGAGTTCAACCACATGGGCAACGATTCATTCAATCATGCCTACATAATGAAACCCCAGTAAAAACACTGGCTTCTTGCTTGGTAAAATACACTGATATAGCCCTGGAGACACGGCAATTCCACACTGGGGGTGCTGCCAAATCTTGCCCTATGTGCCTCTTCATTTGTATCATTTTTGCTGTAACAAAACTCTAATCAAAATTACTGTCCAGTGTTTTCCTAAGTTTTGTGAGTCATTCTAGCAAATGATAGAACATGGGAGGGAGCAGTGAGAAGCCCCAGATTTACCCACAGCAGGTCCCAAGTAAGAAGGCCCTGGGGACCCCTCAGCTTACGGCTGGTATCTGAAGCCTTGCACAGATTTAGCAGTCTGGAGGAGTGTGGGACTGTGCTAACTTGTGAGATCAGATCTAGCTCCAGGTCGTTAGGATTAGAAGAAAAACTATATTTTCAGTTAGTGTCAGAGAAGATATTTAGAATTGGTGTTGAAGATAGATTCTGACACCTTATAATGTCAAAGACAAAACATATATGCAGGTTTAACTATTATTTTTTCTCTGTGTGAATTTCAAAATTCAAGGTTGAAGTCTCAATCCAGTGGAACTTGGGAAATGATTATTGTTGGGCAGAAATGCAATGATCGGAATTATTGGTGGCAGCTGGTAAATTCTAGGGAAGCAGACAATACAGATTGTATATAATTTAGCTAATTTCCAAATTATTTGAAGCATACTGTATCTGTCTTCCAGTTGTGTTATAAGCACCTTAAAGAACTCCATCTGCGTTTTCTCAGTTTCTCGTAAATTCTCTCAGTTCCTGTGAAACAATGCTTTACAAACAGTAGAGATTCTCTAAACCTCCATTGTTTGGATGAGCTAGAAACAGAGAGGGAGATGAAGTGAACATAGCAATTTGCCAAAACAACCCAAGAATTCACTCATTCACCTGTGGTTACTAATGAAGGAATTTATAAAATCAATCCAAGCCAAAACAAATGCACATCATTCCAAAGAAAGATATACTGAAAGGATATGATCATTAGCCATGTAGTGACAACTGAATGCTAAACCACGTCTCTTGTTAAATTGTACATAATATGCAAATCTCTTTTTACAAAATAATTCCCCACTTTAAGCCGCAGAAAAAAATGAAAGGTGAGCTCAGGATAAGACAGAATTTGTCTTGCAAAAAAGAGAAGGAGAAAATGGATCAATTACATTCGTAATGACAAAAGGAAACAGCATCAATTTAGCATCTGCTTTTGCATGACCACAGTCAGGTGCTTTGAAAAGCTGATAAAAACATTTTGTTTGATAGATGCTGGCATTCTGGGATGCAGGAGTTTGTAAAACTGAACTCTAGCACCATCATTTATTTGTTGCAGAACTACAGTTTCAGTGAGATTGTCTCCACCTTTAAGTTCCTTTCCGTATAGTCAGCTTTTACTATACACTTGCTAGTTTCACATGGTCATCTCATTCCATTTTCAAAAACTTGTGTCAAGTAGAAAACATGGTTCAGATTTTACAGATGAGAAAAGCAAGGATCAGTGAGTTTGATTAACCTTCTCAAGTTGGCACAACTACTAAGTTGTGGAACTGGAATTCAGATCCTGATCCATTTTATATTAAAATCCATGTTCTCCTTACACTATGCTGCCTTTCAAAAAATGTGGAAAAGGAATAAACTCCAAAGAACGTATCACTGATGAACTGTACGATTCAGATTAAATATCTTAAAAAGTCTGTTGATAATATAAATGAATAGGATGCCTTCAGGTAACTTTTCACTTTCAAGTCCTTCAAAATGTATATTAATCTCTGTGTTCTCTTACATACTCCAGAACAAAATCAACCATTTAGACTAATACCAAGAAGAAGTGAAAGGTTTTAAAAGTTATAGTCTATAAATAATGTATTGATAGCTTAGTTTTCATTACCTTAGACAATAATTTTGGCTTAGGTTCAGATTTATCTTTGACAACAGAGTCTCTGATGAGCCGAGATCGGTCATAATTTGCGTGTTCTGATTCATCCAGGTAATCTTTATCTTTTCCTAGGGCTAGAGAAAAAAAAAAAAAAGAGAGAAAATTACATCCATTTTTATTATTATTTTTAAAAAATTTTTATTGTGATTTGAGTGAAAGTTTACAGAGCAAATTAATTTTCCTTAAAGCAGCTCACATACACTTTGTTTTGACATTGACTGCAATTTCCCACAATGCAACAGCTCCCCTCCCATTACTGCCCCATAGTTTTTTCTTCCTTCTGTCCTTCCCTCCCATGCATTCCTGCCCCAAGCTGTCTCTCTGTGCATACACAGCACTTCTATTTTCCCATAACTGACCTCTCCAAGGAATGTACCTACCTACTGTCAATGTTCAGCTGCCTTTTGTTTGGCTGGAAACAACAGGAGTGGGTTCAATTCCAGACCCAAAGGGCAGGTAGGGGCCATAGTCTCAGGGGTTTTACCAGGTTCTATCAGACCAACAAACCTGGTCCTTTTTTTTTCCCCCCCAAATGATTTTGAGTTTTGTTCTACATCGTTCTCCTTCTCTATCCAGGATCTCCTATATAGATCCCCCTCCGAGTGGTTGACAGTGGTAGACAGGTACCATCTAGTTTTTCTGGTTTCATAGTCTGAGGATCACATAGGCTGAGGATCACATGGTTTACCAGTCACTTGGACTAATTGTTTCCATGCTTCTTTGGTTTTCTTCATTCTTCTTTGCTCTGGATGAGGAGAGACCCATTGTTCATTTAGATGGCCGCTTGCAAGCTTTTAAGATCCCAGTAACTACTTGTCAAAGTAGGATGTGGAACAACGTCTTTGTGTAGTATGTTATACCAATTGAACTTGATGTCCCCTGCGACCATGGTCCCTAGCCCCCAGGTGCAACTTCTCACTCTCTCTGGGTAGCTGGCTGTGGCTAAGAAGTGACTACAACTTTGCCCTTGTCAGCTATATTATATACCTGGGAATTTTACAGAATGTACAAATATCCTTGTAGAAACATTGTCTGCCCACCCCGTACATGGTCATGAGCACACTACCCCCTGCATAGACATACCTAATCATTCAGCCTGTCTACCCCTCTATCCACTCACATATCAATGTTTGCCTTCACTGACAATGCAGTACTTTGTGTGCAAAAGGGTTCATCTTTGTTGTCTATCCCTCCCATACACCTCTGGATGTTTTCCTCTTTCTCAATGCCCCCATGTTGGTCATTCATATTTGGTACATTGCCCTTATTTTCACCTGATCAATACTTGTCTTTACCTTTCTAACAGAGTTACATCCATTTTTTGTGCTTTCTCTCTCTCTCTCTCTTTAAAGTACCAATCTCTCTGTTTTTCCTATGTTCCCAAAGTTTAGCTGAGCATAGATTGTACATGACTGCCCAACCACTAAATAAACACAAAACAGTAATCATGTGAAGTTTGTTATTGTGTTAATTATAATACTGATAGCCATCAAGTAATAATGACTTTCATAAGAATTAAGTGCACTTCTTTTAAGTAATATACTTTTTGAAAGTAAACTCAATACTAGGCAAACTATGCTGAACACATTTCCACTTTTAGACTTGAAGATAAAGATATATGTAAAATTTAATAAATTTTTAAGATTTATTTTCTTACTTAATAACTGCATTCTGAGAGTTCCAAGTTGGGAAGCTTTATAAATATGAATTTGCTAAAATGTGTAAGAAATCTAAAAGATCTTAGAAGAAATGCTAACAAACGTTGTAAGAAAGTTTTTGCTTGTTTGTTTGTTTTAACAAATTAGAATATTGAAATAAAACTCTACAATTGCAACAAGGAGCAAGAACACTGAAAAATGATAAGTACCACTGGAATGATTTTTAAAAATTTAAGAAACTTTAATAACAAATCTGTAAGGACTGGATATGCATAATGGACAAACTATATTCAATATAAAAGAGTATAAAAGAAGAAATATCTAGGATGGTCATAAGCACAGTCAAGAACTATTGACATACTTCACGAACTTTTGTCCCAAATGATACAATTATCTCTTTGAATTCAAAGCAAACAATTCTTACATATTTAGCCTTGTCAAAAGAATTGCATGACTTAGAAATATTTTATTGAATCTATTAAAACCTATTAAAGATGACAAGGACAACTGTGTATAATGTTTTCAAGAGTTCATTTGAGTGATTAAAAATTGTAAAGAAGAAAAGCAAGATTGTCAGTTTTAGTTATGAGTACATTCAGTAATTTCTTTTATTAGTAATGCCTAAAAGCTGCTATAGCATGATGTTATACCTGTAAAGATAGTACCATCAAGCTTTTAACAGAGTAGGAAATAAGATGGGACAAGTCACATTATGTCTTTGGATATGATTAAAAGCTAATTATGTTAAAATTCTCTAAGCATTTAAAGTTTATAAATAGACATATTAATAATAGCTAACACTGAAAAATGATTAATATTTGCTGAGTACATACTATGAGCCACAAACTTTACATGTGATATATCCTTTAGTCCTTATAAGTCTACTTTCATAGTGATACTGCCTTGGAAACCCAAGGAGGGGTTGATATGAGTGGGATCTGATTCTCCAGCAGTGAGTTTTGGTTTGGTTCTAGAACTGAAATGCTGTTGGATATAATTCCAAAGCTGGTGTTTGTGAATAAACTATCCTGCGTCCCTTGCTGTTGTTTTTGTTATGTGCTGTTGAGTCAGACCCAGGTCATAGCGACCCCTCATTGGGTTTCTGAAGTGGTATCACTATGGAAGTAGAATGCCCAACCTTCCTTTCAAGGATTGGCTAGTGGCTTTGAACTGCCAGCCTTAGATTTAGTTAAATTTCACACTTTCAACAATTATTTATTGAATAAATATAATATTCCTGCTACTATTCTAAGAGTTAAAGATATAGTAGTACAAAAGATATGGAGATTAAAGACCCCCAAAAGTTTATAGGTGTTTGGTCATAGTAAGAAAATGCTAGGATAAGGTCCAGTCCCCTTTTCCCTAGTTATATGACAGAAAACTGGCACAATCATTTTCTCTGCTGGTGAATAACTAAGTGTAACTGAGGGAAACAAAGGAGGAAATGCTCATGAAACATGTCATCCAATTTAAGTTAAGAGTTCAGGTCCTGGTATTGTGCTAAATCACCTTGTGACTAGGACCAGGATCACATAATCATTGAGTTAACCCCAGCGACCATGTAGCCAGGTAATTAAAACCCCAGACCAATCCTATAACCTTTTTAATTTCTAATTATATACTTATTCCAAGCGTGGTCCCTTCCTTACTTCTGTTATCCTGCCTTTAACAATGATGTATTAATGAATAACTAATCAGTTTTTCTCAACTTCCCTTCCTTCTGTAACATTATATTGTTGTTGATGTAGATATAGTATGATAACTATGATTCAGTGGACTACACTAGTCTATGGCAGATCTATCATTCAAATGATTTTGTTTGTCTTGGTTTAATAAAAATATCTTTTAATTAAATTTAAATCTAGGCTCTTTTTCCACAGTAGTAAACACAACAAAGAAAAGCTTGCCCTCATGCAATATCTAGTAAGGGAAGGAAAAGAATAAATAAAATAAAATAATAAGTAAAATATTAAGTATGTCTCCTGGTAAGTGCAGTGGAGGAAAATACGGTAGGTAGGAAGGATACAGGTGCCAAAGGTGAGGAGAACCAAAAAATCCAAACCCATTGTCATCGAGTTGATTCCAACCCATAGCGACCCCCATTGGGTTTCCAAGGTGGTAAATCTTTATAAAAATAGGTTGCCCAGTCTTGCTTCTGCAGCGTGGCTGGTGGGTTTGAACCAACAAGCTTCTGGTTAGCAGTCAGATGCCTTAGATACTGTGCTAGCAGAGCTCCTTTAGGTGAGGAGTGGGGGATGTTATTTTAGTACAGATAATAGTAACATTAGAGCAAAGATCTGAAGAGGTGAGATAGTAAAGCATGCAAGTAAAATGGAGTAAGGAGGGTCCAGGCAGAGAAAACACCAAGTACAAAACTTGGACTTGGCTTGGACTATTACTTGAATGGGAAAGAAACTGAACTTTTGGAGTTAATTTGTTGGACAGTCTTCTAAAACTTCATCAACTTGTCAGTTTGGAACTTCTATTTTACATAAAACAATTTTCTTATTTTATATTTTGCACAAGACTCTCATGAATGAAAATGATGCACATAATACTCTCCAACTAGCAATCTGGCAATCCATTCAGACATCGAGGGCACAGGGTGCTTAGTGTTTCTTTTTTCTTCCCTTCCTTTCCCTTCCTTTATCTTCCCTTGCCTTCTTTTCTCTTTGTTTCCTTCCTTTCCTCCTTCCCTTCTTTCCTCCCTCCATGATCCACTCCTTTTCTTTCTTCCTCTCTTTCTCCTTCTCCTTCGTCCATCTTTTTTCTTTCTTTCTTTCTTTTCTTCTTTCTTGATATTATAGAACAAGCAAGGTTCTTTAGGTGGTTAAACACGAATAGAGGAATGGTATTGTGGAGTGAGCACTGGCTTGGTAATCACAAAGATCTCACTTCTCATTGTAATTACCTTCGCCTGAGCATTTCTACATCTATAAAATAAGGAGGTTTTTCGAAAAGGTCTCAAAGGATCCTTTAAGCTCTGAAAATTATTTGCTTATTAATTTAATGTTTACAAAAAATAAAATGGCAATTGAACTTGATTAATATATTTAATTAACCAGAGAATACAAGAAATACAGAAAATGCATATAAGTTTTTATGCTCATTTAAATTCCCTATTCCACTCAAAAATTAATTTTTTAGGCAGAGGCATTTTTTTGTTTGGTTGTTTTTTCTCTTTAATTATTAAAACACAAATATTCCTGGAAGGGGAATAACCTTAAATTACACATTTTGCTGAAGGAAATCGTACTCAATTTTGAAGGACTTGCCCCAAACCAATATCTTTGCAATGTCTTTTCAGATCTTCTACTGCTCTCCTGCTCCATGACCCCAACTAGAAAAGATCATTTGGTCTTATGAATCCTATCACACTTTTTTTTTCTTTTTTGTTTTAGTGGGGAGGCCTCTTT